TATATATATATATAGCATGGAGTTTTGTTTTTTTAATTAGTGATTGGTGACATGTGCCAATGGACTTACCTGGGAACTTGCTGGAATGACACAGTAATGTTAGAGTTTGGTTAACAAAATGGGTCATTGTTGAGCTGTCAAAATCGGCTTCTTGTTATCAGTGCAACAGAAGTGCCGTTACTGGCAGGGCTATGCAATAGATTTCACAAAAAATGCCTAAAACTGTATAGATTGAGAAATTCCAGACAGACTAAAATTAGATTTAGGGTTAATGTACACCAAGTCACATTTTCTAAATGAAGGTTTCCCTTCACACTAGTGGTCCTGAACATGACATTTTGCCTTCACTGCCTTCAAAATCTGGTAACATGGCTATGCACATTCTGTATACAAGTGTCCAAGTCAGATTTATTTTAAAGCAGATGAGCCGAGGCCACCTACCTCTCCAGCATGGCAGTCTTAAATTTTTCCACATTCAGCTGTTTCTGGAGCTGTGCTGCCTTCCCATGAGATCGTCGCAGGACTGTGTGCTTCACCAAGGCAGCAGCAGATGGTCTCATCCTTGGATCTGGATGAATCAGTTGCTGAAAAAGGTAGAGATTAGATACTCTGACATAGAATTTACAAACTTGGCATTGCAGAAAAAGTAATCCGTCATAAGAAAGTGGTGTGCCATTACAGATGTTTCTAAAGGCGTAATCTTCAGGTTGTCATCCTGAGCCTTTGCCACCTATTGAGTCACTAACATTGAGTTTGGGTGTTTCAGGCAGCCCGAGACTTCACTGGCTCATGCTCATTCTAGGTCAGTAAGTCATTGGGCCAGGTAGCAAGGATGACACCTCAAGAACATGCAACAAGTCAGCAGTGCAATCTCCCATATTCCTATCTGGACAGGCTCCCAAGTGACCATTCTAAAGCTGTGTTCACTTGACTCGGCAAGGTAAAAGCATAACAATTAGAATAAATCAAGTTATCAAACAACTTTACAGCACTGCAGTTTTGGTTAACAGGACGACCAAAAAAAAAGCTTTTCACTTCACTGAAATTTCAGCAAAATTGGGATATTCTTTCCATTTTGGCAAAAGGCAAAATTAAAGAAGCTCCAAGTCACAGCAATATCCTCTCCTGTTTTAACAGCATTGTAATAGGAATACATACTAGAGTTTGATAATGCAATCAAAGCTTACGTTTATGTAGTGAGTTCTGCCTTCTGTCTGGCCATTTCCTGCATTCACAGTATGCTGTGCGTCTTTCCCTGCTGCCTCATGTGACGCAACCTCGATTTCTCATGACTACATAGCCCATCATACATTGCTTCCAGCAAGCAATGATAACGTTGCATTGTTCAGACATTGACTTGTAGTTCAGAAGGCATGCTCAGTTCTGACAAGGAAGTGCATATTCACAGGGAGAGTCAATTTTTTTAAGGTGATCAAATTGCCTGGTTAGGAAACAGTCGTGATGTTACTTAGGGCTTGCCTTAAATGCCTCTTGATCAGATCATCTTCTTTCCAAGTAGTTTTCAGGAGTCTGTCCAGCGCTGGTATCGGTCTCTGATCCAGCGTAGACTCATTGGGTCCCACGGTGTCTGTCTGCGTGCACGGTGCCAGCTGCGTGCATTGACTTAGTGTCTCTTCTCCCGGCCGAAGATCTCTACTGCGCATGCCCCCATGATCCTTTACAGCTATCAGAGAATCTTCAGATGGGAGCAAGCGGCGGAGACAAGTTTTTACCCATTTGGCAACTATTTGTTTTAATGTTTTTGCATACATCTACTGCTATATGCAAAAAAACAAAAAAACAAAAAAACAAAGGTTTAAATGTACTTTAGGCAATCTGCAAAGGTGAAAAGGTGAAAAGTTAACAACTTTGCTGCAAAGTTATGGTGAAATCGCCAGCTCATTCCCACTGGTGACATGGCCTGCAGAACAACTATTGTTGCGGTTAGCAGATGCTAGGGCATTTCTTTTGCTTCAAGATTGTGTGCACTTTAAGGACACCAGGCATTCCATTCAGCTCTGCGACAAGCAGTGACTTAGATTATAACTGTGAAATATTAAAAGCAGTCACAAGATGCCCAGTAAATGCATTTAAATCTTGTACCTTAAGCAGGTCATGGAAGGCAGGCGAGAGGTACTGGGGAATATCTGGCAAGTTGCCTTTTCTGATGTAATGCCAACTGTCGTCATTGCATGGAAGAGGGCCCGCACCAGCAGCTACGGCAATGGTGAGTCCAAGAGCAAAAAGGTCAGCCTTCGGGAGCTGGCTGTAATCCTGCAAGGAAGCAAGAATTACCACCATGACAGAACCATCTGCATCATACAGCATTAAAAAGAGAAAATCCAGACTATGGCCAACTGTGAACAGTCCAGTAAACCATGCATCTGTCATCTCAGAAAGACCACAATTTAACATTAAACATAGAACTCCAGGCAAATATATACATACAACCTAAAAATATATATAGGAGCATCCATTCAATTCTTAGATTTACACATCTCTGCCACAAAGCACAGCCCTATCTAACAAGGCAGGAGACCTGAGTTTTCTCTGGGACCATTAACACTTATAGCTAGGGATGCACAGATACCGGTATAGAGTACAGATATTTTTCCGGTACTCGCCGATACCAAATACCGATACCGGAAGTATCGGGCTAGGCATCAGAGCATTTGGGCAAGTACTCGCCCAAATACTCAGCAGCAGCACTGATACTATCGGTATCAGTGCATCCCTACTTATAGCTTATAACTTCACACACACCAATTTCTCCCCAAAAAGTTGCTTTTAAGGCATGCCATCTGTTAAGGTTGCCAGTGTGCTCATTTCAGCTCCCACCTGAACTTTCAAGCCTTCAAATATAATAGCAGATCATTTGTGCAACACCATGGCAACTGCAATTCAAAGAGGCCAAGATGGCATTTTCCTTGGCTGTAATGGATAGGAGGTTGTAAAGGTATCCTGCTTGCCTCCAGCCTGTGACTGCACAGTGATAGAAGCAGCAGATGGATCTGTCACTGCTCTCTCCTGCTATTGGCATGCTCCTTACACTGCAACACACATTATTGGCTCTGTGTTGCTTCTTGCTTCCCAAATCTAAGCAAAGCTGTGCAGGAATTCAGGTGCACAATTTGAAATTTAAAAAAATACATTACGCAATAATGAATACAGAACTGCATTATTTGTGTCTTATATCTGCCTGGAGATCAGATTTAATCCAGGGCAGCAAGGTTCCACAGGCTTGTAACACCTTCACAGCCTCTCCACATGATTTGCAACTGGAGAGGGAACATTCATGGCCACCCATCGGCTTAATCATTTGTTTTCACCAATACCTGCCCTGCATTTCTGCCACAGACGTTTCACTTTCATGATGCACCTATATTTGCCTGATAATCCAACCCTGGGTTCTAAATCTATAGGTGGGCTCTGACCCACAGACTAGACATTAAAGTAAATCTAAACCCTAATTGGATGACATTACATTTTCTAAAGGATGGTGTCAAACCAAATTCCATTTTTATAAAACATGGTTTTCACTTTTTAATCTGTGTGTCCCAGTGGAGCCGATCTTCAGCCTTTTTTAACCAATTCCCATCTACATATACTCCAGTAAAGGCTGCATGGCATTTCTCAGGTCAGGTTTCCTGATGGGAAAAAAAGTGGGCCATACCTGTGTAATATGCTGGCATTGCCACTTGTCTACCAGGAGAGCACTGAGCTAGGTGACCACGCAGGAGCTCAATTAGACTGTTGAAACATGACAGTGCCTGAACAAGCAGGCAAGTACACCTATTTTAATAAACACAGATACAGAAAATGGTGAAATTACACTACCAGCTTCAATGAGATTTTCATGGTTGGTGTTGCATCTACCCTTTAAGATGCAATTTACCTGGCTGACGGATGGGAGGTTTGTTGCAGAACAGTTTAGTGTGGGCCAATGCAATAGCCACGTACACCATCAGTTGTCTGGCCCATTCACCACTCTGGTGTTACTGCATGCACAACATATATTATTGCATTAATGCAGGCTATTTCGAGTGGGCTGCCAATGCAACAAAACCCAGACATGAACCTTTCCCATTTGTGTGGTGGTGTGCCTTGAATGCGATTCAGTGACTGCGTGGTGTCACTGCAGCACACAGATTAAAAGCCAGCAAATGTTTGCCATTCATGTTTACCTCCTGTAGAATCTCATTAGCCAGGAATCTGCTGTCGCCTTCTTCAACCTGTGGGGTGGTGATGGATGTCACATGACCAAGGTCACCTGGGAAGTGCCAAAGAAAAAACCATAGAATGAACTCTGCTTTGTAAATTGAAAGGAGTGGGGATGGGGAGAGCAGGGAAATCCCACAATTGGCAACTTCAAATAACCCTTATGAGATTTTTTTAAATGTTACCCCGAGACTCGCCTATTTTGTACAGGACACTGGCAGAGGAAAGCTCCTCTTCTCCATCACTGTCATCTTGTCCTGCCTCAGTCATTTTCCGACATATGAAGATATTACCTGAAAACAACCAGAATTAGATAATGGATAAGGGTAGGTGTGTGTTTGGAGACTTTAATGAAAATGTTATTGGCCCATCTTTTAGACTAAAGTCAGAACAGTGAAAATCTGATGGTATGGGATTCCTAACTTTGGATTAGCCCTCCCAAAAATCTCACCTCCGCTGGTGACCGCAGGTCCTGAATTTTATATAGTGACATCAGCAAGAGGGGTGACCACACAATTGAGAACAGCAGCATCAGGGGACCACCATCACCACCAGAACCAGAAGTTGGGGAAAAGTCTGCAATATGGTGGATTAAGGCAAATATGTCGCCCCATTAGATACCCTACATAAGCTAGAGAGGGAGCCAGATTTTATATTCTGGGACAGCCTCGGACAGTGGTGTAAACAACCTAGTCATTGTCAACGTTACAATTTCCAAGTAAGCTTGCAATGTACAGTACATAAAGTGTAGCTGAACAAACACTGGCAGCTTTGTGTGTGACCTTTTATTGAACAATTTCTCCATAGCAGTTATAAGGTAGATGCTGGTACCAACTTGGCTTGATATCCATGTGCACCAGGCCAGAGCTGTGGATGTATTTCAGTCCCATGGACACTTGTAGAAGAATCTCCTTTAACTCTGGCTCCATCACCAGCTGGCCGCACTTTGTGTTCTCCATGATGTGGTCCTGCAGACTTCCACCTGACAGCAAATACATTAACAGCTAGCATGGCATAATTAAAACACTTAGTGCAAACTATACTTTCTCAGGTACAATTATGAAACCTCTCACTTATTGCCATAATCTTCCCACATCATAAATTTAAAAGATCCAGCACATGAAAACTTCAATTGTGTCATGACTCCACTGCCAGTGTACAATGAATTAATGCTTACCATTGCAGTACTCATTTTGAATGATCATGTGGTCATCCTCCGCCCAGGCAGAGTAATAGCGAACAACATGAGGATGGTGACCCAGCACGGCATGGGCATAGACCTCCCGGAGTGCCATCTGCCTGTGGGGCAAGAAGCTATTCTGTAGAGTTAAATGTAACCTTAATAATGTGTGGTCAACCCCCAACAGTACATGGGATCATAGTGAATTTCTAGTACAACAGATATTTTTCTGTACTTGCAGGATCTTTAAAAAAAAGAGAAAAACATGGGGCAAAAAAAGGCAGTGCATGCATAATTCCCCGACACTTTTAAAAGTGGACTTTTGCTTCCTCCCCCACCCCCCAAAGATAGAGGTTATCTGCTCCAACAGTAGTGTCAGATGCTCAAAAATATGCAGCCCAAATAAACAGCCGTGTCGTGGATCAATCAGATTTTGACTGATAGTAGGTAGCAGAGAACTCCCTTCCAATGTTATTAGAAAGATCAAGGACCCTTTCTGCTTAATGGGTATGTAAAGGCATTGCGCCAAGAGATTATGTTTTACATCTGCCTGCGCTTGCACCATTGTAACTGCTCAAGGTCTTTGGCCAACACCTTAAGTGTAAACTAGTCCCCCCATTTTCTTTTAGACTGTAAGCCCTTTTAGATCTTTAGCAATCTTTTAGATTGTAAGCCCTCACAGGCAGGGCCCTCCTTACCATCTTGTCTTGAATTGTATTGTGACTGTAATGTCTTCCCTATATTATAAAGCGCTGTGCAAACTATTGGCGCTATATAAATCCTGTATAATAATAATTTTCACCCTGTATCGTTCACATTAAACAATTTAACCTCCATACATCCTGCACACCATCCTAATGAATATTTAAATTGTATGCCAGTTTGTCTGGACTAGCATTCAGGGTTAAGGTGTCCATAGACTACCAAATGTATGCTAATTTTAAGGTTTAATCATGGCAAGCTGTGTGCGGCTTAAATTCTACCTCCACTTCTTTTGCCAGCAGGAATTCACAAACTTGATTGCTAAGCTAGAGGGGGTGCAAACCGTTCAGATTCCTTGAATTAACGAGGCTCATTTGCTTTCACTGCCACAACTTTCTGCTAGGAGGTAGAGAAAAAAGTGACTGTTCCTTGCTTAGTATTGATCAAACTTTCCTGCCAAAATGGTTTGAGCATCAGCCTCGTATTAATGATAAACAGAAAAGCCAAACTGACATTAAAACAGGAGAGGATAGCAGATATATTCTAAATTAAGAAGTATTGCAAATATTTTATTCATCCAGTGGCCAGTTTTTGACAAATGTTCTCAAATTAGAATTTGAAAGGCCAACATAGACTTGCAGACTTCAACGCCTAGATGCCAACAGGCTTCTGATAGGACCTTGAAGCTTGTGGCTGAGCAATTCGACTATTAGCTCACAAGTCCTCAAAATAATCCTTAAGGGAGGGAGAGATCTGTACACCCTGGGCTCCACACTGTCTGCAAAACATTTTCTTAAAGATCGGACTGATGCACTGATGTCGGATATCCCAAACACCAACACAGCTATCAGAACCAGCTGGTCCATACAAGCCTGTGACTACTGGAGGCAGCAGGAACCCTTCTCACAGCAGGTGCAGAGCCACCTCCAGGAGTGATGGTCAACTTTTAAAGAGTCTATTCTACATCCATAACTATGTTTAGAAGCATGGAAATTAACATGGTTCAGAACAGGCTCTGCATGAATTACCAACATGATAAAACTATACTGCCTGAAACCTTGACTAAAGGTTGTCTAATGTCATATGGTACACGTTATGCGATCATGAAACATTCGTCCTCTCAACATGGATTTGAGGGGAGGGCATGGCGATGGTCATCTAAAGCACACATCCTTATAGACCGCTACAGATATGATGTCACTCAATATAACCACTTCAATGTGAGCTTAAGAGTTCATATGGTCAGCCTCCAGTCTCCAGTGAAGGAATTTCAAGTTTGCTTACAGTCTAGTTTTCAGTTGTCCAAAGCAATCTTTTGCTTGACAAACTGGAATAGCACCAGGCTGTTACATATCAACACAGTACAGAAACAAGCTTTGAGAGGTCATCTGTACTCACTCATCAGTGGAGCCAGCCAGAGGCTTCTTGGAACGCTTAATGGCATAGACGCAGCCATCCAACCGTTTAACACATTTGAAGACCGCTCCAAACTCTCCTGATCCTATTTTCTCAATCTCCAGGAATTCTGTTTTGTACCTGGAACCCATGTTGGTTTCACGCAACACAAGCCTCTAAAATCAAACACATACCTTTAATGCACTAGTCAATGCTTGCTAGCAGAAAATACATCACTATGTTCCACTCAAACTATGCAAACATGTCATAATCACACACCTGAAAAGGAACATGTGCTGAATGCTCCCTCTCCCTGTATTTTGATGGTGGATCATTGCTAAGGAAAAAAGCAAAAATTAAGTTAAGAAAAAAAAATGGGCACAGAAGGAAATGCAAGATACATCACAACATGCCAACCTTCTACATGTGTCCTGGTGCAAATGACATATGATGGTTATGTGACCTATCAGTAAGTTTTGTTGGAGATTAACACCCATATAGCCAAACCAGGGCATACTTCCGATTGCAACTTATTGGCTACTTGTGCTGCTAAACGTTTACTAGAAATGTGCGATTCGTTTTGGAAAAATTTGTTATGTATCCGAATTTCCGAAAAACAGAAATCGCGAATTAAAACTAAATTAGTCTGCAAGTATTTTCATTTGTGGATGAATTTTCACACACGGACACAAAACAAAAGTTCGTATAGACTACCGCTAACGAAGTTCGTCTGAATCCCAAAACGAATTGATGCAAAACATAACGAAACAAATTTTTGCCGGTGCACTAGTCTAACGTTTACCCATCTGAGCTCCGATGTACAGGACTACAACTGGCATATACCAAATCAAATTCAGGTGCTAATTACAAAATAGTATTCATAATGTATTACTACAGAGTTGCATTCATCTGTGTCTTATACCTGCCTGGAGTTTAGCTTTTACTTTCATTGCAGGTAGCCGGAGCAGTTCCTTCTTTTATAGTGTTTCCAGACAGAAGGCAGCCAAGTATGAAACCATCACCACACCTTTATTCCAGATATACTGTTACTGTAATCTGGCGCATATAACCAGCTATGACTTTTATTTAAGTATTTTACATAACCCTGCCAAATGTTACAACTTCGGTGCACAATAATAAACCTCGATAACTGGACACAATGTAATTTTTTATAAAAAGCCATTGTAGAAAGTGAAATGCAGAAGGGCAACATTACGAAGTGTTCTACACTTTGTAAGGCTAGATGAGCACAAAAAGATACATCTGCAATAACTATGGCCCTTCATTGCTTTTAGCCACTAATGTGGAAGTATAGGGATTGCCAGACTTCGCTCTATGCTTTATCCAGGTCTAAAAGTATGCATAGCCCAAAAAAAAAATGGTGTGTTTAAAATTAGAAAATGTTTTTATTGAGATTCACCCATGTGTCATGGTGACCATTGTCACAAAGTGATTGAAAATCTAAATTTTACAATACTTCTGATCAACATTGTCACTGGGGATGAAAGTGAGGGTAAGCACAAAATTTTGAGTTGCCACCAGATCAGGGGTATCAGTGGGGACATTGTTCCCATGACAACCAAGTTTTTCCTTACATTGAAAAGATCTCCGTACACTTCCTGCTGAGTCTAAAGGCCAAGTGAAGAAAAATCTCAATGAGACAGTTACCAAAAATAAAAAATGGCAGCTCCCCACTCTATCCAAAAAGAGGTTTTGGCTTTAGGCATACTCTACAAAAATCCAAGGCTATAGTAAAATGTTATCAGTCCATGAAAAATCTTTTACAGTCTCCACTAAAAGATAGCGCTCCACTTAAAAATTGTTACTATGCCAAGCACAGTTAAGATCACCTGCTGGGTTCTGCCTTCCTCTTGCCATTGGAGTTGAGCTGCATTTGGCGATAGGTTTCAGGGGTGAAAGGATTAACATTGACCATGGCAGGGTCATCCAGCTCTGCACCCGTTCCAGCCACGAACCTCATGAGCCTCTGACTCCTGCAGGACACCCTGGAGCCAGGCGAGGGAAGGTTTTTGCATAGCAAACTCTGGACAGAAAACACAACCACAGATTATTATTTGGCTCTTCTACACTGGAGAAGAGAAACCGATAAAAGTAATGCCTATGGTAACCAGCGTTCCTACACTAGAAGTTAGAGGTGAAAATCAAACATCTATGTGACTGATGTCCCATTAAAGGATGAGGAAAGAAAAAACTTGAAAGTTGCATGCTTGCAGATTTCCTTTGGACCATCACCATTTCCCACCATACAAGAAATGGCCATGGAGTAACTCCATTGGGCATAACTGTTAATGCGGATGCAAGAAGGTTGCACAGAAGCGTAGCAATTGATTTTCTGGCCATAAATCTGGGCACCATTTTGTGAATGCTTGTTTGCCATTATATCTCAACTACCTACATAACTAAATCCACTGCACTTAAAGGACTGCTTTTAACAGTCTGGGCACATGGAAGCATTCACAAATACAAAACTTGCTGGTAGCCGTCTCTGCATATCACAGCTGAGCACTGGCGTGCACTTTCAGCAAACATTTGGAGATCTACACACAAAGCATGGCACTATCAAATTAAAGGATAGCTGTACTTTATGCCCATTAGTTTCTGTGGAAAGCCCATCTCCTATTAGGCCCAGTGATGGAGTCTTTCCATAGAGAGAAATGCACAGCCTTGTGACTTTTCACTAGATAGCTGTATGGCTCCTATAGGCGTTGTGTAGTGAAGGTCTATGAGAAGTGGGACAGAAGTGTAGGCTATGGAAAGGGTTACTTTAAGGATGATACAAAAAAAAAATAGTCTAAATATGGATTTAGAAGTTCTTCTGTAGCCAAAGCCCTAAAGAGGCCTCGTTGCTAGACCAAAGCCCAAAAGAGCTCTTGTTGCTAGACCATTTCAACAACCTTCCCATAAGATCATATGTGCATCATTTTATACATGCCATTTACCAGTAAAAGCCTCCCTTGTGTAGACATCTAGAAGCCCCAAGACTGCTGCTGGGTGCTGCCATCTTGGATGTGATGTCAGCAGCCTCAGCTCTCACTCAAATGACACTATAGTATTTCCCTTTGCTCCTCTCCCAGCTACTACATAAAATGTTCTATATGAAGGTCAGGGATAAAGGAGCTGGACCAGCACCAACTGTAATTAGACAATCCAAAAAAAGAATAAGGCTATGACGTGCAAGGAGGGAGTAGCTGTGCTAGGAAATGGACTTTCCTGGAGTAGCCACATATGCCAGCAAGTTCCAAGACATTGCAAGTCAATAAAAATGAGTTTTTGGGAAGAAAAACACTGCAAGTAAGCATTCAAAAATACTTGATTTTTCTGGTTGGTGACAAAGTTAAGATTTCAATACAGTGTTGAAAGATCAGAACCAGTGTCTGGTGTTTGTTGCTCTGTAGGATATACCTACAGTTCTTACATGTGTGGTCACTGGATGAGGAAGTGAGGGCAACCTTCCCATTGGTTACAAAGCACCAAAAATCTGATACTGCCAACATTTAAACTATTACATCTCTAAACCGTATTGCCAAAGAAACCAATGGAGCTGGTACATAATCTCCGTAAGACAGGTTAGTTTTACCTTTGGGGTAGAAGGTGTGTCACAAAGCTTCAGCTTCTTCCATGTAGTGTAGTGTAGTGGGGTACCAGGACTATCCCCATCAGGGTCCATCTGTGCTAGTGGAGAACCATCACTGCTGGGGCTCTCATCCATATAGGCACCTAGAGGAGACACTCCTCTCTCATTACGCTGGGGGGTAACTGGGAACTGATTGTCCCCTGTCCTCCATGCCATAGGATTACCGGGGTCCTCTAGGCCAGGGGAGCCCTGAATACAGCCATTACCATCACCCTCTTCATCACTGCTGAAAAAGTCCAGTTTCTGAATAATTCGACTATCATATGCCATGGTGGACATCATCCCTTGAGGAGCGGAAAAAAAAACAAAATTTGCAGTACAGACACTTTCCTTTTAGGCAGTAAATTACAAACACTGGGCTACCTGAATGTATACAAGAGAACTGCCTGCAATGTCAACAAATGTTGCCTTCCATTCAAGTATGACAGAAGATTCTATTGGCTATCGCACCAACTGTACATACTCCATTATAAGACTCACTGTGAAAAGGGACAACACCTGTCCCAATGCCATTTTAAAATAGAAGAGTAACACCCGCCTCCCCCCACAAATGAAAAAAAACAAGCCCCTAGAAATTCAATGCATCTAAACCCCAGAAAGAAAATGTTCTTATATTGTAGCTTAGCAGTCCTTAGATGTGCTGTCTGCAGTGGTTCTTTTTAGGATGATAAACTTCCTCACTGTACTGTATCTATGGAGGAGCAGTTTCCAAGTACTACAGTACACCTGCCCAATGGTGTCACAAGGGGGTGTGGCCCGCACCCGGGTGACACCAAAATGACTGTCATTTTGGTGTCACCCCCTCTAAAAAGTCAGGCACGCAAACATGGACCAAGAACCATCAAGAACCCGACA